CGTTTCGGGAAACGGTTCGGGTTCGGGACGGAATAGATCGGTTCGGTTCTTTCGGTTTTACAAAAATAGGTACCAATCGGGTTTTTTATTGTATTCGGTTCGGTTTCGGTATCGGTTCGGTTCGGTTCCGGGTTTTATGAAAAAAAATGTTAGATTTCCTTTAAAAATATTCGGTTTTTCGGGATTTTTAAAGTTCGGTTCGGTTCGGTTCGGTTCCGGAAAAATTCGGTTCTCTAAAAATAGTACCGTTCGGGAAATAACAACGGTTTCGGGTCGGAAAAAATACCGTTTTAACGGTTCGGTTCGGTCCGGTTCCGAAGAACCGAACCGAAACGCCCAGCCCTACCACCAACACTCATTCAATAATTAACTTGTAATAAACTAAAAGATATGAAAAACCTCACTCTAATCTCAGTCTCAACAAACAGATCTCAAACCCAAAATGCAACATAAAATTAAAATAAAAAAATAGAGAAAAAAAAACTGAACACAAGTGGCAACCCGCGTAATTACTGCGCTCACGTGAACCGCCGCATTTTTCGCCTTGCTGCTCTCAGATTCCGCCGGAGCATCCGCCGGAGCCCCCTCCGGCGTGTCCATCGGTGGAGCCGGCGGTGAGGGGGCAACAGGTGAAGGAGCATCGGCGGGAGAAGGACTCGGTGACTTCGCCGGAGACGGTGCCGGTGCGCTCACTGGCTCAGGCGCCGGCGCCGGAGATGGAGACTTCCCGAACAGCTCGGTGGGGAGGAGGACGTTGTCCACCGTGAATATCGCAACCGGAGTCGCGTCGAGTACGGTGTCGGCGACTCTAGATGGGCCAACGCCGGTGTGGAGGACGACCTCGTCGCCGGAGGTTGAAGTCGTGAGATCGAATTTTCCAGCTCCGTTAGTGGCCAATGTGGAGATGGAGTCTTTGTTCGTCTTCAACGAACCCTTGGGCTTGTATTCCGCGAGGGCGTGATACTCTAGAAGCGAGACCACCTCAGCCTGCGTGAGCTTGCTCAGATCTGGAACTCCATCAGCCTTGAAGGCTTCATCGGACGGTGCGAAAACCGTCAAACCCTTGTCGACGGTCGACTCGTAGGTCTTGATCACACCGCTCGTTACTAGTAAATTGGCGAATGTCTTGCAACCGGCCTTCTCGAGCAACCCCGTGATGTTAACTCCGGCGGCGGATGGAGCAGGCGCCGTCAAAATCCCCGGAGCGATGATCGGCGCGTCGATCTCGAGGACGGAGATGTTGTACGGGATCTGCTTGACTGATTTGGTGTAGGACGAGTCGAGCTTGGATCCTGAAGCCGCGGAGCCAAATCCGACTTTCCCGCCTTTGAGGTCGGTGACGTTGACGAAGCCTAGGTTTCCAGGGGCATTTCCGGTAGTTTGGTAGAGAGTGGTGGTGAGAGTTGTACCTTTGGAGATCTGGTGGAGCTTCTGAGGATCGTAATAGTCGAGGAGGACGAGGAGACTGAGGGCGTTTTTGATGACGGAGAGAGGGTGTTTTCCGGCCAGCGCCGACATGGCTCCATTGTTGAGGACGAGGACGGTGATCGTTGTACGGCTGTTGATCTCATCCGCCAGCTTCGTCTGGGTGAGGTAGCTGTTGAACTGAGAGTAATCCGAGGAGCCGGCGAGAATGTCGGTGATGTTGTGGCCGCCGACGGTGACTGATACGGAGAGGAGAGAGAAAGTGAGGACGAGGAGAGAGAAAATGCGTAACGCGGCCATGATGGGAGTTAGAAGAGAGAAGACGACTGTGGAAGAACAGAGAGTGAGGATAGAGTGATGAAGTGGGGAAATAAAAGGAAGACGAAGGGATGTAACCACGGTTAGATTTTAACCGTAATCGGGTTAGTTTTGACCAGAGTTACTGCTTTTTGTTTTTGTTTTTGTGTAAATTGGGTTGGATTGGGGCCCATGTGGAGTTTTTTTAACAGCTGGAAATGGCAAAGGGCATTGCGTTGCACTGTCCTTTTGCAAAATTACGAAAATGGGCTTATGGGCTTTCAACGGTTACAATGATATCATGTTTACAACGGCTCTCAAACTTAAACGGTGACCCATTTTGAAAATCAAATTCGGGAGGAAAAATATCATAATATGCGTGATGTTATTACAAAAGGGAATATTTACATTTTTAACCTAATGCAATCGAATTCTCGGATGGTCAACGTATATTTATTTACTTTGTACATTTAGAAAATTCGGGAAATTCTTGTATACGTGTTCATATTCTTAAAGAAAGTACAACCTTTTAAAAAAATAATTAGATTTATAAAATATATGATAAATAAAAATTTACCAAAAACATATATCCCAAAACCAGATATCCAAAACAAAGTGTATTATTGGATAATGTTTATATATATAAACATGGTAAAGAGGTTCATAATGCTACCAAACATTAATTCCAACTATACCAAAAAAAGGCCCAAAGAGAGGGGGTTCTTACCTAAATTTAATTTAAACAAACATAAAATATGAATATACACTTTCTAGTATTGCAAATATGAACAACCATTAATTTCGGTTTTTGTCATTATACTGTAATAAAGCTAATTACAATCGCTAGCTTTTACTTCAAGTTGTAGCAATTTCTGCACTTGAATTTTAAAAACAAATACAACTTTTTAATGGTATAATTTTGTCTATTCACATCGCAACTATTCTAGTCACTACGTTGGTCTTTTTTTTAATTAAAAATTTCATAATATTCAGCCGACAAATTGATTGTCTTTTTTCTTATAAAAAATTGAAAAAGGAAGGTTCTACTTGTCAGACGGATTCCCTTTGTTGATAAAGCAATACCCATAACCGGGATTTATTTACCATTTCTGTACATTCGAAAAAATAAATAGAAATGGGCCTAATGGAGAAGAATCTCAGCCCATATATAATAAGTAATGGGCCGAAGAAGAAGGCCCAGAGGAGAGAAGCGCGTGGGCGCGTCGTGGAGCCAGTGGCCAGGCTCAAATGGCTCTGCTCTGTCATTGCTTAAAGCGAAAACTGAACTTTTTTGTCCGAGAGGATTCGAATAAGGCTGCAGACGCTGACGCGTTTGTCAGAAATTTGACAAAAGGCCTTTAAGTCTCTCTCTCTCTCTGGTCTTAAAATTGTCTTTACACGTTGTCACAGATGTAATAGGATGAGAAATTCACCTTCTGTTGTGTTGTGTTCTTCTTGAGCGTACGAAGCAAAGGGTTTTCGTTTGTTTCCGAGCCACTAGCGGTGTTTTTTCCCTTCTGATTTTTGTGGGAAGTGGTTTCGAAAAGATGGCTTCAAAAGTCGGCCTTTTGTTTTGAAAAAGCTTTCGCAAAGAGACACAGAAACGGACAGAACCCTGGTTTTGTTTTTCTTCAGTTTATGCCCTCGAAGCTTTCGTGAAAATGGAGACACAGAGCCCTCGAAGTAACTGCGGTACTTACCCTCTCTCTCTCTCTCTCTCTCTCTCTCTTCATATATATATATGCGTTGCATCTATGCAAATATGGTGCTCTGTTTGATTGCTGTGTTCTGAACTCTGAATCCGGCGTGAAGCTGAAGCTAAGCCGGAGAAATCGGGGGCGGCGGGGGAGGAGAGGAAGAGTCCGCCATGGAAGAGGGAAACAATGACGGAGGCGCAGTTGCAGGAGTTTCAAATGCAAGCCATGGCTTATAGATACATCTCGGCTGGTCACCCCTTGCCTCCTCATCTCCTGGTCCCCATCTGGAACAGCCTCGCTCTCTCTTGGTCTCGCCACCTCTCCATGGTTCATCACCTCCATCGTCAGTCACTCTTTTTGCCCATCTTCTTGTTTGTTTTTCCCGTGTCTTGTCTGTCTTGATGATATTGGTTCCAAGAATTGACCTTTCTTGAGTCCCTTCTGTATGTAAATGATTTCTGAGACTTAAAACTTGTCACTTAGTCTGATAGTTTCTGAGGCTTTAATGGTTGAACTGAATCAAGAATTGTTAACTTGGAGTTCTTCAGTGTAGTTTTGGATTGTACTGCCATGGCTGAGGATGGTTAGGGTTTCTGAGTTGCAGGGTTGAGTTATCAAGAATTCTATCAGAGGGAAATGGTGGATCCTGAACCGACAAGGTGCAGGAGAACAGACGGGAAGAAATGGAGGTGTGGCAATGATGTTCTTCCGTTTCAGAAGTACTGTCAAAGGCACATGCACAGAGGCCGTAAGCGTTCAAGAAAGCTTGTGGAATCTTCTGAGATTGCTTCGTCAGATCCTAAGGCATCCATGGAAGATGGGTCGGATAGTTTTTCCTGTCACCAGACAATGGCCTCTTCCAGTTCCAGCAAAGCTCCCGTTGTTACAATTGCTTCATACGCTGATGAGGACAAAAGCAGCACCATCCAAGACTCTGTCTCTCTTTCCTCCTTTGTGTCTTTGGCTTCAACGAACAAAAGTGTTACTATAGAGTGCAATGGGAGCGGAAGGAATGTGGACCTGAATGACAACGACAAAAGCAACAGATTTATGAGCGACGATTTCATCATGAAAAAGCAAAAGGACATGATTTACCGTAAGAGTGTTTGAGATATCGATACAATGGTGTGATCATAATTACCAACATATCCGGGAATTTGAGGATGACTTGTCTGTTTCTTCATTTCCAGGCCATGGTAGGTTACCCTCTGTACAAAGCGAGCCAAAAGATAAACCAGGAAGGTACCCAGAGATAACTGGAAAGCAGTGTAGGTCCAGTGAGGATGGTCTCTTCATTGGCAAATACTTACGCGAGCATTTGCAAAGCGGCACTGAGGTGTCTGGTCCTCCCCTTGAAGCTGCAGATTTCATAGATAGCAGCAAGAAAGATATAAGTACAAGAAACAGACTTACTGGCTGCAATTACTCGGCGAAATCGAGTGGTATGAATGTCACTGGCTGCATGGTTCCAGGAATTCACTTCTCCCCAGACAGTGTTCTTCAAGGTAGTTTGCTTTTTGGTATGAGCTTCAGACATATTGAGTCCATTTGAAATCTATCATTTTCCTGTGTCTTTAGATCTTTTGCCCCCTTCTTACAATGAAACTGCTTCCTCCTTTGTATTGTAGGTCATGGTGGTTTTCCATTGAACAGAGCTGAAACAGAAAATGAACCAGGAAGGTGCAGAAGAACAGATGGGAAGAAGTGGAGATGCAGCAAAGAAGCATTACCTTTTCAGAAATACTGTCCTAAGCACATGCATAGAGGGGTCAAGAAGCGGCCAGGAGATACCAAAGCCGTGGCTAATACTGGAGTTTCTGTTTCATACTCTATGGCTGTAACAGCTGCTGGATCTGCATCTTGCAAAGACAAAGATGATCATAATGCCAAACTGAATACCGAACTCTCTGTCTCTGTCCTTGCAAATCCCCTCGTCGGCCGAGGTTGTGAAGAAAAGAGCACTAGTAGTTGCAGCACCGATACCACCATCACTGATACAGCATTAAGGGGTGAAGACAAAGATAAAGATGACTTGTCAACATGTTCGGGTGTTTAGGTTAGAAGGGTAAAAAATGTGGTTGAGGTTCCAACATTTTCATGTTCTGAATAATCTAATATCGATGCATCATTTTGGGTCTTTCGTCAATGTTTTCATGTTGATCTTTTCCAAAGAGACAGCCTCTGCAATGTTGCAGGCAACATCACGACCAAACTTTGATCATCTATATTCTATACCTGCAAGCCCTGAGGGGTAAAGTTCCCAACTTCATGATAGCTGTATCCAGTAGGGCCAAGTTTGCATGTAAAATTAATAAATTATAGATACTCGAGAAATAAATAATTTAGAAAACTCCAATTCTACAAAGCAACACCACTCTGGGATTTTTGATGGTGTTGCAAGTCATTTGTAAATTCCCAAGAACAACATGGGTTAAGAGAGATATCACTATGAATCCACTGTTGCAACCTGGAAGACTATATTGTGATCAGCTGCTGCAGAAAGATCAAACTCCATTCCAGACACACAAACTAAGCTAAGAGTTGCTACAAAAATGCTGTCATGCCCCATCTGGTTGGATGGCAATGGAAGGAAACTGAAGACCTGGTCTTGAGGTCCATCCTTTCCGAGCTCTGTAAGCTTCAACAGCCAGTAAGCGTTGCCTCTCCTTAGATGCACTTTGAGCAGACTTTGGTGCCTGTTAAATGCATATATAATCATCACCTGGTCCGATATGAAGAGCCATCTTCACAAGATGGTCGTAAATTGGAAATAGCAACGGACTGTACCTTTGGAACAACGACTAACTTTGGTGGAGCTTCCACCACCTCACCAAATCTTATCTTTTCATGCTTCGGGAAATCTACTACAGTCTCTTCTGTCTTTCCTTTCTTGTTTTTCTTCTTTTTGGCTTCCCAATACCTGTGCAAGCATAGGAAGCTTTTTAGCTACTAATGGAACATCAGATAATTTATGTACATGGACAATAGCAGTAAACTAGAGATAATCACTGAAGAACACAAAAAAGGCAAAAAAACGCTCAAAAGAAAAAAAAAACATACATGCTAAAATCAAAAGACAAGAATCATCGGGTTGCAAACCACACGGTGCAATAAGTTGAGCGAAACATAAAAGGAAACATTCATGATATTTATGATTGCTTACTATGATAGATATTGCAGAAACAAGCAGACAAGAACAAAGCTGCAATCATATTTTTACATATGTACAATACTGACTTTCACTAGCATCATCAGCTAAACTAGCAAAAGCTCAGTACTGTGGTATGTCCAAGCAACGCTGAAGACTTGCCGAGCGTAAAAGATTTTGAAATTTAATCCAAAATATATGAAAAAAGGCAATGTGAATTCGGAAAAGAATAGCTCTAGACTTAGGGGAGTAAAATGAAGAGTATAAGCTTACTTTTTTTTGCGCTCTCGCCTCCTTGATCGGCCTTCTAGCTCTGCAAGTTCCTTTTCAAAACGGAGGTCCTTAATCTGATCCCTCTTCCTCTTTTTCTTCTTCTTTTCATCTCCACTCTTCAGCAATGTCTGGTCACCACCATTCTCATGATCTGAAGAATTGGTATGACCCTCTGTTTTTCTTTCTTCAACTACCGTGCCCTCTGACCTTCTTTCACTCCCAGATTTAACGCCCTGATTATATAGTTATTAACAATAAATCAACCAAAAGTGCAGAAAATGGGACAAAGATGAGGAGTAAAATTTTGTATTAGGCCTAAAGCAAAGATTGCATATGGGGAACTCTAGCTTGCCCCACCCACTATCCGCGGAATAGCATAAGTTTGTGAAAGGAAAAACATTTTTGGCCCCATGCCAACAAATAATACATTATCAAGCATTCACTAAACCCTAATTCTAAACCCGAAACAATTACAGTACAATACAGAGGAAGAACGAGTAATGTAACGAAATTCATGCATACGCACTTAATTCCATGAGAAATACCAACCTAACACAAAAATGCCCTAAAAACTATATTAAACCATCCACTGTGGAAGCGGAAGGTAAGAAAATATACCGTCGCAGAATCTACTCTAGCTTTCTTATCCTTTTGTTTCTTCTCTTCGACATCTTTAGCAGAATCTGATGAAAGAAGATACGATGAAAAACGCATGAAGCTCTATACTCGTGACGAAACGAGAGAGAGTGTACCGTGCGGAGACAGAGAAGCGAAGGAGATAAGCCGGCGGAGCTTGGAAGGAAGGGCGTCGAGCTTCGAATGATCAGGCGGCGGAGGAAGCCTAGTCGGTCCACCATGCGCGGCCAAGTAGTTCTTCTCCCTTCTTCTCTTTCCTTTCCCTCCCATCTCTCTCTCTCTCTCTCAGTTCACGCCGCCGCTATTCCCACTGCGTTTGCTAAGCTGCCGAAGACGTGAAAGAGTATCTGGGCCTTGTTTGGACAGTTCAGGCCCATTAGTTTGGCCCAAATATGCTTGACCGATTCGGCCTTGTTTGATTTTGACGAAACTCCTCGTCTCGCTCTCGTCTTTTTCCCCATAGAGAGAGATCTGATGCAATTGGTGTCTGGTTGCAAAAAGGAGTAAAACAAAATTCACACAATTTAATGTAGTTATCACAATTCCTCTTTAATGAATGAATGTAATAAATTAATATAACGCCATGTAATAAGTGTCGCCTCAACATGAGCACCAACAACTACGTATATTCCATCCTATTCTAAAGGAAGAGCAAAGACAGTAAAGCCCAAGCTCCGGATGTATATACTTCACGAATCTCTCTCTCTGCGCACTGTGATGGATCATCATCATCAGATCTCTGGAACGCTTTGGAAGAATCTCGAAAGGACAAAACACGAACTACATATGTTGTTTCGGACGAAGAATCTGCCTGATGAGAGCATGTACATACGTGTTCTTGCACATGCCAAGACGAGCAATCATTGATGACCTGAATTTTTGATCGTCTGGTTAAGGTTCCTATGGACGGAAATGCAACTCCGGTATCCAACTTGACAATTTCCGCGGCACAATGCCATGGATTTCTATGATTTTATCAAGGGGTTGAGGCCCTTTCCTTCCTGGCGAAGCTTCAGCATCTGATCCACCGCCTTCTCGCTCAACTGCAAACAATTCGGAATGCAAAGGCGTTATAAACTAAACTCTTGACTCTAGCGAGCCGAATTGTTATGAACTGAGTGGTCCTTGGAATTTCGGATTTAGAAGCTAAAAAAGGCGTTTCCTTACTTGTGTTCTAGATGACTCGACTCAGAACAAATACAGGGTCTGTAACTTGAACTGAATGTTTGGTTTGATTATATATAAAGTGTCTCATTCAAAGCTTATAAAGGAATCACAGAAATTCTCATTTTTCATCGACAAGAATAGATGATGAACTTACAGCTGGATCAGTGAAGATTATCAACTGTTTATCTGCAGTGGAAACCAAAAGATTTGTGTTGTCATTGTTCAAAGTCAGAGCGGTAATATCCTGTCCTTGAGCCAGCTTCAGCACATGCAATACCTACGAAAAATAAAGACGTCAACAAGGTTATAAACCGACAATAAGAAAGAATCTCGAAAAAAGGGTCAAATTATCGTTTTAAGGTAGGTGTCAGAGTTCACACATTACTATCATACCTGGAGCGTGTATAGGTCGAGGAAGCAAATTGAAGGAGACGAGATATCCAGTCTGTCATTTAACGAATCTTCTTCACCTACATGCATCTTTGAACTCAAAGCCATGTCCCTGGCATTTGAGTTCATTCCAATCAAGGCACTTTGGCCGTCCATAGCTATTTCCATGCAACTGATGCTACAAGAGAGAGGAAGTTTGGCTTTGGCGACCACAATACCATTGACGGTAAACGTGCTAATAGAATTTTCCGTTCTGTTCCAGGCCATTATAACCCCCTCAGATGAAATGCATAGAGAATGAGCCTCCACCCCAACTAACCGTCTGATCAGCCTCCCTTTTCTCACCGAATGCAATAGAACATCTGAGGACTCAGAGGACGAAACAACAATTCCTAGATCTGAACTAACACAACAGCAAAGTAATTCTCTTCGATGGCCACGGAGTACTTGTATCGGCCCTTCAATGTGACACTTTTTCCTGCAGTCTGTGGATGATGGAATTCCCGAGCCAGTTGACAGCTCAGATAAATTTATCCGAGAAGTGGACAACTTGCGAATTCTCCAAAGCAGAACAGTAGTATCACGTGAGCCTGTCACAAGAAAATTGTCATCTGGGGACAGAGCCAGACATGTTACGGGGGCACAGTGCCCAGAAGCCGTTTCCAATGTCTTTCCTGCATCAGATGAAACTAGCTTGACACTATTATCCGCATGTCCACCTGAATAAAATGCATGATTTCAGATATTGAGGATATAGGCATTATTCAGAAAACCTTAACAAAGACAAGATCTTATAATTGTTACCGGTGATAATTTCTTCTCCATCATTTAAAATAGCAATTACCGCTGAATTACTATATCCGGATGAAGCAAAGGCTTGAGCCTGGGGGAATTGCCAATCATCAGAACCAGAATTAACCGGACCCTTAAACATGCGTACTAGTGTTCCGCCAGTTGAGGTTGATGTTGCTTTCCCGTGATGAAAGAGGAAAGGAGTACCCTGGCCATCAGGGGTGTTTGGCTGCCACTTGTGCTCTGCAACATGTGCTGCTGGAACATTCATGTCAACAATCACGACAGTATCTGAAGATGCCTGGATGGCCGCGGCAGGTAAGTTGCACTGTTCAGGTGATGGAACAACATATGGTTTGACCTCTTTTAGATTCCGAAAGATGGTCTGACAAGAATTTGAAAGCACTTGTCAAGCTCCAATGGCCAAATTTCACCACAGGTAAGCACTTAAGATGAAATAACACTACTGTTTTCATCTATCTACTGGTAGCATGGACATAAGCCCCACAGGTAATGGCTAATGAAGATATGAACCCTGTTCAAAACTTTTCCATAAAACTTGTTGACAAAAGGAGTTAATTTGAACAGAAGCTAAACCATTCCAATACACATTACCTGCATATGTAGAACATCTTTCAATGGCATCCTTTTCATGTGAGGGATAGTCAAGAGCTGGGATGGTGTCTGTCCAAAATAAGTGATCTTGTCTTGTGTAGCACGTTGTTGTACCTTCATTCAAATGTTCATTGGCAAGTTAACTAAAGCAGTGCTTTGCCAAAACTAGGCAACTACAACAAAATAAACTTACCGGGTCTGTGATCTTATCAATATCAACAGTCCCTTCATAGGTAGTGTAGAAGAAAACATTGTTTGCTAGTATAGCTTCCTTGCCCCGTTGCTTATACCTAGATGAATAAGTTCATGAAAAAAGAAACGTGAAGAATCCATTTAACTATCTTAGTAAAGAAAATTTTGTCTAGACAATTTTGCTTCACATTCAGCAAAGAGTGAAACAAAATTATGAACAATGTGTGTTGATAGACTTGAGTTAAAAAAGAAAAAGAAAGAAAAATCTACCCAAATATGAGATCTATCCACCCATGCAAATGTGCAGACACATGCTCGCTCTCGAGAGCCATGCGTTGCTTGTGTACAAAATCGATTGGGTTTTTAGCCCAAGGAGGAAGTTTCACAGCATCTGATGCATCAAAAAACATATAAGAGGAAAGGTTTAGTTTTATAAAGGCACACAAATTATTTGTCTCGGACAATAAAAGTAACCACGAAAGCCTACCAAGCATTTTTCCCAGATGTCTTGTACCAAAGTCGATTGAGTTATCGTTGGTCAGCACCTCAGGAAGGTAAAACAACTCCGGAACCTGTATCGCAAAATGAGGTGGCCTGAATCCAGCTAGGCTCTTCATTTCAGATAAAGAAGACCATATAATGCTTTCGGAGAAAAAAGTACATACCAACTCCTTCACATCACTCATTTCCTCCAGAACGCTATTCCAAGTGGCTGCAATGTCTGAAAACATGCGGTCTACATGATCATATTTTCCACCTTGTAGTTGAACAGAAAGGGTTGTAAAAGGCTCAACTCTAGCCAGATAATACAACACCTGAGCACAAAGGGAAAAAGGATAAAGCATCTGACTTGGCCTTCAAAAGACTACAAACTCTACCCAGTTGCAATCTGGAAATAACCGATACTTTGTTTCTTGTTCTCAGGCAACAGTAAGACAGATTTAAAAGGGGAAAAATGGAAGAAACGTTGGTAATTATGGCAGATATTATAGAGAAGAGAACCCACAGCTTCAGCACTTGAGTAATGGGAACCATAGTGGAATTTAGGGATGACCGGATCATCGAAGCTAGAATACTGCTCCAGAAATTTCTTTAGACGCCCTGGGTTCAATGCACCAATCGGCTGCACAAATATAGATTCGCATTACAACAAGCTTTACTGAGGTCGTTGGATCAATACACACAAGATTAGCACCGAAATCAGGGAGCAAACTACAAAGAATACTACCTTGGATAGGTCTCTGTAGGTAGAAGGGTCTGAAAGATCAAGACTTTCAGAATTGTATTTGGAAATTATCCACGGGAAAACAGGGTACTGCAGAGGATTACTAAATCTATCAAGATCACCCAAAAGCATATGATAGTAAGAGTTCACAAGAGAAAGAAAATGCACATAGCATAAAATCCACCTGAGTAATGTCATTATAACTACGCCCAGCCAGCGTATTGAGCTGCATTAAGTATTCGAAATTGCTGATCTATAAAACAGATGCAACAAAACAGATAGAGTTAGTTCTCTATTCTAGGCAAGAATAAGGATGCATGATGAAAAGAATATGAACGTGCAGTTCCTTGGTACCTCCCATCTAGCCCAGCGCTCCATTAACTGAGTTCTTTTCAAAAGTTGTTCCGGTCTCTAGAAAGAAAAAAGATTTAAGTTATGCCGCATATGAAAGAAAGTTCACTCAGCTTAGATTGATGAACAAGCCTGAAATCAAGAATGACGGACCAAGGCCATTTCTAAATAGAACACCCAACAAGGAAAACACTCACCTGGGTTGCTAGGTAAATATTGTTCAGATGAGGAGGCCTTGCTTGAATGACAGCTTGATATGCATTTCTTCGTCCTTCAGTATCCTATGGTGGTCATAAAAAAAGTTTCAAAAAGATTATATAGCTACAGCAGGCAAGTTTAACAAGGGCATAACAATAAATATCTCATAACATAGGAAGGGTTTTTAATTAGATACCCCAAAATCAAAGAAGAAGTTTGATCGGTCAACCATAAAGAGTTCCAGAGCACTCCTCCTCAGGAGATATCTGTGAAAGAAATGGACCAACATAGCAAATAGATCATCAATCACCATGACAAACCCTTGGAGAAACACAGCTCATAAGGAAGGAGGAAAATTCCATAGACCACATAAGGTGCTACTAGGAAAACATTCAAACATGTGCAAGGCGGAAGATGTTGTGTTTGAGAAATGAGTTTATTTGAAGTCAAAGTGGTTTCAATCAGTTCAGTTGACTGTCAATCAGCTCGTGCGTTTAACAATTCAATGCACACAAATTCCTCCCGAATCCTTTTGTACATGAAAAGCTTCATAGCTTAGTTAGAGGAACAAAAATGTCCTAAATAATTAGCAAATATATCACAATAAAATTTTCTCAAATGGAAGAGAATTAGAATAAAATGGGCAAGGCGGAAGATGTTGATGATGATAATACTTACCTTCGGCTATAAATCTGATGCAGGGAAGACATCGGCCAACTGCGATCCTTTTCTTGGTCTCCTGATTCAGAGGAACTATCTGATTTACCAGCCAAACTTTGGCCTTCTCTGTCAACGATAAAATTTATTCTCCGTGTTGTGATCTGAAAAAGGAACAAAAATAACTATTAGCAACCAGTAATTCACCCAAGTAAAGGAATATTTGAGAATTTATGAGTAATTTCCACTATGCATATCGACAGGCCACAATCCTAGTTTTCATGGTATCTACGAAATCCTGGTTGACTATTCTCTTTGTTTTTTCCCAAGTCACCAAAGGGAAATATGGAGCTGTCAGCTCCTTGTACATAATTTAAAACGTCAACTTAGTCAAACATACTTGAAAGGTTCCTCTCACAACCCGTAGTGGTCGAACCATAGATGACGGAAGCTCAAGACGAATCATTTCATCAAGTTCACTCGGAACAAACCCTGGTGCTACTGCTAAAGAATCTTGGACCACATCTTGGTCACTCAAAGGCTGAGGATCACTGGTTTCAGCTGACATTCTCACTGCATGCTCATGTGATCCAGACATCCTCTGTCCATTCTCCCAGCTATGTTCTCCGTCATCGCCTTTGCTATCAAGATGATCACTCTCCCCTCGTTCATCATCTTCGTACATCATTTCCATTGATATTGCTTCTGCAGCAAGAACAGGAGCATTTGATGGAGAACACATACCATCTGGACCCTTTTTTGTCCCTGCCTGATCATCATAGTTTGCTGCTGCCCCAACATGATCAGTTCCAGAATATTTCCTGCTTAGACATTGTCTCATCCTCAAAGAACTTTCCATGGAGTCCAGTTTCCAGAAAACCTGCATGTTTAACGCAGTAGATTAGTTGGGAAATTCCACAAGTTCCAACATTAACGAACTATCATTTTGTAACTTACGCGTTCGGGACTGCATAAATGATCTCCAAAAGGTCCGAAAAAACATTTCATTTCAACCAAATAATGAATAAGTTTGCGCCAACCCCGAATTCCCATGCATAGACGATGCCTTGCTATGATATCGTCTTGCATCCGCCTGTCAATCTGGCAAGGAAGTTGGATCAACAAATATGTATTTAGTATTCTACACTCTATAAAACAATAAAGCATGACATAGGCAGAGAGCAAACCTCTAATCTCTGCATGTTACGTGCTAAAGCAAAGCTAGCTACTAGTACAGCAATAAACTTGTAGGACAAAGCATTAAAATCTTTTCCATAGATAGATTTTGTGTCCACTGGTTGGAGACATTCCATCCAGGCTACACCCATGGCTTCAGAGATATTCCATCTCTGTAAACGCTCCATGTCACTGGCATTCCTCCGCTGCGCAGAAGTGGCCATTGCAACAGCACTGAGTCCTCTTCCTGAACCAATCTTTGCATTCCGTTCAAGATCACGTGCTGCCGCCAAGGCTGCCGCTTTTGCTGCAGCCTTGTCTCTTGGTCGAGGTGGTGTATTATTGTTTGGAACCTCCAATGGTTTCTGGAAGCTTGAAAATGTATGAAGCCTAGCAGTCTTACGCTCAAGCAATGAAGAGTCCCGTCTAAGATGTGAAGGTGCTGGAGGAGCCGGTGCTTCCCAACCAGCTGCCCCTGCAGCTATCATCGCCAGTGCCATTGCAGCAGGTGGCGATGCAAAGGCAGCAGCCCACTCCAGAGACATCATAGAAAGAGCAGCCTAAAAGGGAATGAAAAAGAAGTAGACGCAGCTCAAAATAATTACTTCAAGCAAAGATATTGAAACTAACATCAAACCTTAAGGGCAAAGGTTAATAGAAAGAAATGAAGGTCATTCAGAGGAAAACAACTAAAATGGCAACTAAATGGAATGTCATCAGTTTTCTGCAACCTCTACAGGAAGTGTGTCGGCAGCCAAGGCATGATCATCAACAACAAGGGGATTCAAACCATCAGCAGTGGCAAGCTCATGAATGCCAGCCAAATGCGGTCGCCATCTCCGAAGGACTGCAACAAATGGTGGTAAAATAGCCTCAAGATACTGTTTACGGAGTGGCCTCCCATCCCTGCTTACAGCATGCCATACCTACAACGAACTTAAACTGGACTCAGAAAGTGAAAAACAATGAAAGAAATGAAGCAATCGTTACTGTCACACAAACAAAGTAGGGGAAAATTGCCCACTTTCCCATTTGGCTATCCCAACAGATTTAGGAGAAAACTAACCTCGGAATAAAGAATGCATGCAGCAACCAATACTCTCTGCCGCTTCGAATCAGATATTGGCATGTTTAGGACAGGAGAGAGCACACTGGAAGACAAAAACACTAGGATTTACTTCTCGAGGTAACTACATATTTCAAGTAAACAAACATGAAAAGGCAATCTAGAAAATCAAACTGCTAAAAAAAATTCAAAGATGGCCACAAAGAGGAAAAAAAATCTAAAATTTACACAGCACAATGGCCATCATCATGACTGACCCACGACCAGATTGTGTACACAGTTGAACCAAGAGCATCATCATATTACATCTGCTTCATAGTTTTAACATGCAGAGTTCTGATGAAAAGTATATGCAGACGGATCATCTAAATTGCAAAGCCAAAATGGGGAAAGATAAAAGATGTCTTAGTTTACCTCCACAACAAAGCTGATCGTGATTGTCGCATTGACATATGGGAACTGTTATCTAATGAGACAGCATTCCCTGAGTGGTGATGCAATCCACCAGAGAAACCATCTTCAGAACTTAAACTTGTCATGAACATACTATCTTCACCATAGTCTTCTTCCCTCATAGCCAGGAGCACCATACGGAGCATGCATAAGAAAGGCTGATCGCTATCCAGCAATTGGTAGAGGGCATTCATTCCTCCCATCCCAGTACCTGATCCTCCACCTATTCCGAGGCCACCACCTAGACCAGACTCATCTAGAAGCAAAGCTTGAAGCATGGATACGGAATTTTTAACCAGAGGAAGTTCAATCCAGTTTCCATTAGCATCTTTTTCTAAAGTAGATTTCCAAGAGTCCCAACCACTGCCACCACCACCAAAGCAAGTAGTAGTTTTAGAAGGAAGACCAACGCCATACCACAATCGACTTCTATACTTCCAACCCACAGCCAAATCCAATGCACAGCTACCATATGAAACAAAAGCACATGAAACTGATTCATAAGGCTCAGCGGCAGCAGCAGCAGTAAGACGCTCCATTACTGCTGGAGAAATCTGGCCACTTGCATCGGCCATTGAAGCAAGTACCTAACAAAAAAGTAACATATCTTGAGTTACCTGATGACAAAACGCTATTGAGTGCAGAGTAAAAACAACATAAGAACAAAATTTTAATCTCAGTCAAACTTTAACGTGTAAAGCTACATGCACCATGACAGCCAAAATCTAATATTAGATGTACAAAAGGGCATGCTTTGTAAATCATGATACAGAGATAAAAACAGGAAATAAGTAAATCAACAAGTGGCATGTTAAGATCATAAGGAGATCAACATACGCACAATCAAATATTATCAGAAAATTAAAGTTTATAAGCATGATTCACAAAATCACCCTGTGACAGAGAGAAATGGGAAGCTAAATATTGCAAGTACCAATTCACAGAAATTTAGGTGTTTCAGAATATGTCCCACATACATCTAAAGGGACTCCCCCTGAATCACTGGAGTGTGATGCACGACTACTGGAAACCTCAGATGATTCTCCTATCAGTGCCAACGTATTTATAGGGTTGCTCAGAGGAAAAACAAGAGAAAGAGGTGATGGAGAAGCATCAATCTTGTGTGATGCACAAGCCTGTTTGCTTTGTAATCGCAGATGATCTTCGACAAGCATCAGAATCACAACTGCATTTTCCACCAGAAACACAGAAAGCTGGGCAGCATTTTCTGCTCCTGCCTTTGCCGCCATTGGAGCTAGACCCTCTGCTGCAACACCAGCTGCAGCTATAGCAATAAATTGAGTCTGCAAAGGGGTAAAGATTGTATAGATTAAAAAGAATAGTTGTCATCAGATATAGCAAATGGCCGATGAAACATTCATTGCAACAAGTTACTATTAAATAATAATATGTAATTCAATTAATTGAATTTGTTGCAGAAGAGGTTCACAACCCTACATTCTGTTCAGTGCACTCGCTTGAATGTTAACTATGAATATGCATGTGTAAATCGAGCTTCGCATTTCCTCTACAAGGGACTGAAATAACCATAAAATTACTCAAAAGAAAGGTCTTTCCAGCAAAAGGGGTTGACAAGACATGGAAGGCATTAAGGTATCTCAAATATGTTCTCCTTGATACGCTACAAGAGAAAACAACAAACTGTGAGGATAAGAGTTACCTGAGCCTGCAGCTCTCCGGCGGCAAAGTCTAGCAACCCACCCAGAAGCCTTCTTTTGAAGATTGGTAATGACTCCTCACGCCTTCAAAAAATATGATGTTAAATAAGGTTTAAATTATGAGACACATGCCCAGACTCTGAAAGACTTCTCAAAATATATCGAAAGAAAAACTAGGGAACAAAATATCAGCAAGAGAAATAACTCCAACAAAAAAGAGATGGCCAGACAACAGGCAGAAACATAAGAGAACTTTGGAAAAGACTTCTTTCAACAAGGAAGTGTGAAAAACTGATGCAGCGGTATAACGAAATACCTAATCCGTTGTTCTCCAGTGCTAGATCCACCAACAATAGAAAGCCACTCTGCACAATGAATTGTAGCCTCAATATCCTGTAAAAGGAACGAAATGCACAAGTAATATAAATGAAAACAATATACTTTTAGGAAAAGCTTAATTGGAACAAGTGCAGTAAACATTTCAAAGACAAACATATGTACCTTCCAACCATCCTTCCGACGCATTGAATGCTCCAACATTATGATTAAGAAGTTGTGAACGAGATCTTCTAGCTCGGCAGAACCAACTGAAGCAGACTGCTTGCCGGCATCCTTCTGTGTCACACATGATAGTCAACATATTTGGGGAGCGCTACTGATATGGATTAATAACTTAACAGCCAAAAGTGTAAATACGTCACTGTTGAACACTAGAATGCAGAATGACCTAATTGGCCCAGTAACAATAGACAACCATGGAGAAAAAGAGATAAAAGTTAGAAATCACCTCATAGTTCGAAATAAGGATTTCCAAGATCCACTCAGGCCACGCCTCCATTTTTGTCAGACTGCTTCTATTTTCTGGATGACTGCAAGCCAAAAATAGAAGATCCTGACATAGAAAGAGATATTTCAGAGAGTGACATCAAGTGTTCAATCAGTTTTCATGAAAACGGTCTGGATAACCTAACTCCTCAAAATATGTTCAACAAATTAACAATAATAGTAACCAGAGTCAAGATAATCTGAAGCACTATTAAAAGGACAATTTTGGGCACTCTTTGATTCTTTATTTGTAAAGAAGTGGACAGGCAGAAGAAATTTTTTACCATGACATACATACCTGAAGTGCTCGGCTTTGTAAAGCCTTAGATGCAAATGGAAGAGACCACAAGAGGACTAACAGAAGTTGAGAATGTTCAAAGCGAAGACCTGGATCATAAAAGTTCAGGTCATCCTCTGTTGATGAAGCATTCATCTGCAAAAAAAAAAATTACTAAGATACAAACTCTGAAGCAGCAACTTTAGCACCCAAAAAATGAAGAATCTTACAATTAATTGTTGACCTTATAACCTCATAAGCAAATCAAAGTAGCCAAAGATTTCTCCAATGGCTACGTTGTGACAATAAATATAGGATGGATAGATCACATAGAGCGCTGCGAGAAGACCCTCTTTAAAAACATTACCGCCATTTCATGTGTACCATCAAGTTTCATGTCCCCTTGTAATAAGGTTAAAGAATGTAAAACACATATAAAAGGAAAGAACTCTGCAAAACCACACTAATGTCTAGTTATAGAAAATGGCATATGTTGTCCCTTCTTTTCACCAAATTAATAACTAATATAACTATGTCAATCAGAAAAAATATGCTTGAATATCTGACCTTGGACCAGGTTTGTTCACAAACAAATTAACTAGAAAGGAGAGTCAAGAATATTGCATACCGAGGCCCCAAGCAAAGTTGTGTAGACATTTTCGGTCATTAGCCTATTTGGAGCTGCTTGAAACACTTTCTGAAGTGCAAAAAGAAGCAATGCAACTTTATCATCAAACATTGTTCCACCATTCTCGTGGAGTCCACTACCCAGTAGGTTATTTGCCACATCGGAACGAGCACCTGAATCAAACTTCAGGTGTCCATTTGATATTAATGCACCAATCAATCTGATGATCCCGACCACAATTCCATCGCTATTGTCAACATTGTACACATTGTTTCTTGCGTTATCTGCACTTATCGAAAGACTTATACCACCAACGTTTTTACTGTATGGGGTTTCAGAAACAGATGATGTTCTCTGAATATTTCTGGAATCAGAGAAGGAAATTGAGTCATTATTATGAACAATAGGCTCAGATCCATGCTCTTTTCCCTGTCGAACTGACTCTGTTATCTTTAAAAATCCTACATTATCATCCTTAACACAGTCGTCATCACGAGCAGGAAGGCATGGCTCACTCGAATTGCCTTGTGGATCTGAATCCATCTGCTTTAATGACTCAGGCCCATCGTTCTGACTCTGATCACTGTGGTCAGGTGCTACATCCGGGCCACTCTTACTCATAGATTCTGGAATATCGCAATCACCAGTTTTTGCTTGTCTCTGCAGAAGAACAAGAAGTGTTTCTATTCCACCAGATGTAATAAATGCCCCAGAGAATGTCTTAGCTCTTGCAGCATTTGGCTGCACAACCAGCCTATACATCAGATGCAATACTCTTGCAACCTAAAGGAAGGCAACGATGGAACAATTTCAGTACAAAAATGATTTATTAATTATTACAAAAAAAAAGAAAGACTGATTTACAAAACATATTTAGATATTAATGATTACCATCTTTTCCCACTACAAGCACAAAATTGCAATCTGTAAATCATTCCCTCTCAGACCAACAATTATTTCTCTCAAACAAAGCCAATATGCTCAGTCTGCTAAAGTTGTGAAGATTGTTCCTTTAACTTCAAGCAAACGTCGTAATGTGAGCAAATGTGCTAAAGGTAACAGAAATGCTAAGCCTTGAATGCATAACAATATTAGGAAGAGCAAATTTTTCATCTAAGACAAGTGATGATGGATTAGAAAGATGTAAAAAGACAATGAAATAAAAACTTAGCAACAAACAGTTTCAAAAGAGTTATCCGAAGACCAGAATCTAGCTACTATCCGTGTTATGAAAATAGAATAGAAGAATGCGCTACCTGATTTGGCTGTGGGCAGTCAGTTATGAATCCAAGTAATCGACGGACATCATCAACAGCCAATGAAGGAGATGCTGCTCCCATTAAAAGTTCAATAATTACCAAAAGTTCATCAACCAAGGCATTAACTTCTCCCATTTGACGTGTATCTCCATCAAGAGAAAAAGGGTTCACAGAGTCCCTTTCACGAATCATCCAGTAACATCTTCGACATCCATCTAAAAGCATCTGGATAGCATCGGCA